CAAAATCGGAGTTAAAACTATCATTAAATCGTGATTTTTCGTTTATAACCGTCGAAAAGTTTTGTCTCGTTACTTGCTTTCTGAATGTTTTTTTTTTTTACGATTTTCTACTTATGTGATCTCGAAGTATATACAAACAAGTTTGACAGTTGGAGCGTTAAAACTAATTTCGTAGAATGCGTATCCCATCAAGTTGAATGATATATATATTTATTAAGTACCTTTAAATTTATTTATTTTGTACATCTTAAAAAATTGAATGGTATGTATATTTATTAAGTAGCTTTAAATTTATTATTGTAGTTCGGATCGGGTTTTTGTTAGAAAAATAGATTATTGTGGGTTTTATGAAAAAAAAAATGAATTTGAAAGGAGTAAAGTCACATTTTTAGTAAATTTTATAATTTAAAAAAAAATATATATATAACTAGCGCGACCCCAAAGTGTGGTCATTGCGCAAAGAACCTTTGCGCAACATCAGAATGAATACATGCATCGCGCAAGGGGGTAAAATTTTGGCACTGCAATTGTAAAAATTAGGTGCTCTTTTGAATTGGACAAAATGGGGTAAACTTAGGCGCTGCAATTTTCAATTGTCCAAACAACTCTCTTTCACTCGATCTCTCGCTTCCCTCTCTCTCACTCCGGTCATCTTTGTCTTCCTTCATTTGCCACTTCCTCGAGTGATTTTTGAAGACGCCGGACATCCACCTTATGCAATACAGTGCATGAGGAACTCCTCGCCATTACCCACCCATCGTTAGATGAAGACAAAGGTAACTAGGTAATTAGGAAACCCTAATTATCATATATACACTTAAATTAGGGTTTTATTTGTTGTTACTTTGTTGTTAATTTAAGTGTAATTAGGGTAATTAGGGTTTTATTTGGTGAGTGTTGCAGGAACTTGTGTTTGCTTTAATCCCAAATTAGGGTTTTATTTGAAAGCTCTGTGTATATTGAAAGCTCTGGTTGCAAATCTGTGATTTTTTTAATTGGTTGCAAGGCAAATGCAAAGGTATTTGGGCTCAAGAAAATGGTATGAAGGAAAGCTCTGAAATTAGATATTGCTATTATTATGTACTAGAAACTTCAGTACCCTTTTATTCCTCCTCTGCACACTTTTTATAGTTGCTTATTAATCACTTATTAATAACTTAACATGCTTAGCAAACCACTCATTTGCACACTTTTTACAACTGCTTCATCTTCAACATTGTACCTCATGGTCCAACTTTTGGAAGTATCTTTAGATAGCTTGTTTTAGTTTTCAGACTACATGCTAATTAATGTAAGATAGAACTTGTGGAAAGTGGCTTGATCTTGTGCATATTTAGCATAAGCAGAACCCTTGCAAAAGATGGCATATAATTAATAGTACAAAGATGCAACTCTTCTAGTGTGATTTGATTACTTACTAGCGTAACTGAACCGGCGATGGTGGGGTTGATTAGGCATTGTTGTCTTGTCAAGTCGGCCAAAAGAATTTGTAATCCTTTTAGAAAAACATATGTATATAATATAACACATGTAAGAGAATTAGTGCATTCCTATAACAAGTTGGAGATGGACTTGAACCAAAAGTTGTTATGTTCTACTATGAGGAGAAAGAAATTTATAACCAAACTATGTAAAGCAAGCAAATGAAAATTACTAAATGAGAATTTGAAAATAATAAATGAGAATTTGCAATGCGCCTATGTCGTAAGATACACTTTTAGGATTAATAATTGGATTAAGGCAGATTTCCATTATATAAATCATGTACCAATTTCCAACTATGACGACCTCTTATCCTTTCAAACTTTCTATCTACCTTAGTTGGCTAGCTATGAACTTGATGATATTATCATGATGTCAATCAATTTAATAATTGAATTACTGCTTTTATTTCAAATGGTAGCTACAAGCCAAACTTGATGATATTATCATGATGTCAATCAATTTAATAATTGAATTACTGCTTTTATTTCAAATGGCAGCTACAAGCCAAACTTGATGATATTATCATGATGTCAATCAATTTTATCATTCCATGTACTTAAGCTTTCAATTTGCTTTGAGAACTATTAAATGTAATGAACTTTGGTATTGCCTTTGTAACCTTAATCTGTATATTGCCTTTTTTTCCTATACCTTGTCTGCAACCTATTGGAGTCTAAGTGAGAAATGACTCATTTCTTATGTTTTATCACATAGCAGCTCATTTAGAACAAAGAGGGTGTGCTTTACCACAAGGATATTTGTCTTGCAAAGTAATACTTTCCATTCCAAAAGTTTGGTACGTCCTGGAGTCCTCTCATGTTTTCAATTGCTCTAATTTATTATTACTTGGTCTTCTCTGAGTTCTATTTCCCTCCAAATTACTAGTGTTTTGCTTTCTCATGTTTCTTGCTTCGAACATTACTAGTGAACATCGACTGATTCCTGAACATTTCTTCAACTATTGAGGGGGGCACTTAAGAGGGTTTGACATGTAGGTATAGATATATGTGGTTGAGAGCTATATGTGACTTGACATGTAGGTGTAGATTTTTTGTCCCTAAGTGTCTATCTTAGCCTTATATTTTTGAGAAGAACTAGTTTCTTTTCAATGATCTGGTATTATGAAATATAATTGCTATTTAATACTTGTTTGTGACATGTGGTTTACTAGATGGCACTTGGTTCCATTTTCTATTCTGGTTTGCTCTGCTTCTGATTTTTTATTGGTTAGTAGATATAGTGGACTGGGATTGGTTACACAGTGCAGACCATAACTTCCCTTATGCATTTTGAGCTAATTTATTGATAAGGATTCCATATGCATTCATCTCCTTTATGTTTCCCCACTCTAAAGAATCAGATACCTCTCTTCGTTTTGCTACTGACTGGTTCAGACTGGTTGATGCCCTTGTTGACATTTAGTCTTGTATGTGAGTCGAAAAGGAATTTGTTGGGTGGCATCTTTTTTACTATTTTCTTCTTTCCACATGTTTCTTGTGTGAACTTTACAAGAACCTCTTTTGATTGATTTTCTTCAAGCACTACTACCTCTATTTTTTTGTTTCGTGTAATTTTCAAACCTAGACCTCATGCCATCACAATCACATGGATCATTCCACATGATTCATTTACTAGAACACTAGGATTTTCTTTGTGTATGAGACAAACAAACAAAACATTGTGGGTTGAAAAAATATGAATGCAAAGACCTAGAATATTACGTTGTATTGATTGAATCGAATACCCATTACTTTGTATTTTTTTTTCTTCTGAAATGATTGGTTTCAAATGCAAGAAAGGATTAGTTTCTAATGTTATATTTTTATGGTTCAAAAAGTGTATAGCTGTCGCAGTTGATCACTCGTCGTCAGAGTGTGACCAATACGCCTCCTAATCAAGGACGTCACCGTATCTGAGGATGCAGGTTTTCAGATCCTGAATGAGGTCCTAGATCAGAAGTTTGGTTGTCGTTATAGCAAGGTTGTTCGGTGTATAGGGAATGCGCAGGTTTGTGAGACGGGTACCTCCTCTTCCAAATTGACCACAGGAAAGGTCAATGCCCTGAAGGAGGAAGTGACAACCTTAAAAGGTCAGCTTCCGGCCCAATGAGAGCAGATGAGTATTATTGTACGGGCCTTACAGATGTCCGGCCTGCAAATCCCAATGCCAGCACCTGATCTTGCTCCACCTTCGACCTCCTAGCCACTTCGCCCAGTTGATACCTAGTAGCCTGATGTATCAAACCTAGAAGACCACTTGTTGTAGTCTTTTCTTTTTTGTTCGGACATCTTGTATATACATTTTCACATATTTTATAATTAAATACTTTTTCTTGGTTTATTAATTATTGTTTAGAATTCAATTACAATATTTATTAAAAATTAAATAAAAATTTTTTTTGCTAAAAAAAAAAAAAAGGGTTTGCGCGACGAAGAAGTAACATGCGTCGCGTAAAGACACTTTGCATGACGCAGATCCTATGTCGCACAAAGACACTTTGCGTGACGCATGTTACTTCTTTATCGCACAGACCCTACTTTCACTGCCTTGGCACGACGGTTGGTGAGCGACGAAGGTTTCGTTGGGCTAATTTTTGCACGACGAAGGACCTGTGTCACGCAAACTGTTTTTTGTACTAGTGAATGTGACTGTTCAAGAAAATTTGAAAGGGTACTTGGATGTCTATGTAAATCAAACGATAGGATGGAGATTTTATAACACAATTTAATTCATCTTTCTTGTCTTTAAAATGTAGATTATTCTTTTGTTTGAAACATATGAACAGTTTCATGTGTGGTAAACTGATGATTGTGGGTGTATGAGAGTGAGGTATGATGGTAGTAATGAAAAATATGCGGGATGTGTTAAGATGAGCTTTACTTTAAAAAGTAAAGGTGGATGTACTAATTATGTCCGGAGCAGTCAATAAAATGTAGAGGGTTAATAAAACAACGCGGTATTTGCTCTCGTTTTTGTTAATATATATGTATTTCTATTTGATAATAAATTAAGGAAACAAATTCTTATGATATTTTGAAGTTATTCTCTTGAAAATTTTTCCTTTTTTTTTCTTCTTCACTTAATTTAGTAAATATAAGTGGAAAACTATAGTTGTTAGTGTATAAACAAGTAAAAAGTTGGAAAATGATTCTCATTGGATCCTTTTCCTAGGGATTCCGTAATTGTGACCATTCATTGTACATCATGCGATAAGAAATTATTTCAAAATTTAAAATTTAAAATTAAATATAAATAGCACCTAAAGAAAACTGACACCAAAATATAAGATGAACGGTCATGATCGTGGGATCCTTAAGATCTCTAGGAAAAGGATCCGGCAAGGATCCTTTTCCTAAAAAGTTCACCAAAAACAAGTAAAAAGTGATTTCCGTTCCTATGACCACATACGTATCATGGAAGAAAGCCAGCTCATTTCACCACTACACCACATAGTAGGAAAGGGCAAGATATTCCAGACAAGAACAAGATACCTCAATCATACAAAATTAGATACCTTTATATTCAATCACTCCAAATTTAGTAACTTTATGTAAAATATCTTGTTTTAGACCGTTAAGGGTATCAATGGTATATACAAGACAATGTTAGTATGAGATATTTAGGATCAACTAAAATGTAACGCAAACCTTATAAATTATAATTGTCTTCACATGCATAAACAACAGACACTATTTTATCTAGTGGTAAAAATTGAATGAAAAAATCAACGCCAAGTGTAATCTATTGATTTGAGAAACTTCACATACTGACGTCAGCATTGCTTTCCATGTCATCCCGGTAAATGCAGCCACCTGAAGGGTGAGGTGAACATTTCCTCCTCATCCAACTGATAAAAGACTTGCTTTAAAAATACCTTTTGCAATAGTTTACAAGCAACTTAGCCCGCGCAAGGCCGTGGGTCTAAAACCATGTTAAACGTATAAAATATATTAAAATATATTTACTTCTATATCAAAACATATTTACATCTTTATATCAATCCAAAACAAAAGATACATATTTGTGTTGTAAAATTGATGGATGATGAATGAATGCCCACTCAAAAAGAACAAAGACTTAGGAATAGTGTTTGATACTTTCAAAAGTATCATCATTGTTTTGTGGATGGTTGTAGTTACGAGAGTCTCTCTATAATTAAAGCACTGAGAGTCTCTCTATAATTAAAGCATCCGTCTGTTATCAAATGCACTGCAAAAGAAATTAAGAGAAATAATATCAGTATCCCTCCCTCTCTTTATCTAGTCATCCTTTTTGTGTTATAGCTACTAAAGTTATAGTGTGATATTTTGCACCTGCTTCGCTTCTGTCCTTAGAAAGGTTATCTCTCTACCTTTTGCCTATTTATAACAGTTTGTACAATATATTACAACACTCTGAGGCTCATGTCTTTAGTTCTAGTGATTCATACTTCCTCAGCAAATCAACCATTTGTTCTTTACCAATGTCCAAGGCCTGTTATGGAGAAGGCAAATGGAGTATAAATGTTCAATGGGGCTACCAACACGTAACTTAAATTTAGTTACGAAAGTATATTAAATTTAAAAGCAAGAAATTAGAAGATAGCTAATCATGTAGAAAGTCATAATAATAATAATCATAATCATAATTTAGACGAAACACTTGAAACTGGAGTGGCCTTAATGCATTTATATCGAATTCAAATAGAAGAAAATTCAATTAGGCTGGAATGGAAAATTTTAAGCTTTTAACATAATAAATTCACAGGCACATATTGCTCATTCGATATGTGGTATGACAAAACTCTAAAACTTATCCAAGTTCACACAATCATACTTGGCACTCGTCAGTTTTCACCTATTACAAATGTAGAGCAGCACTACATTCCAAAGTTAATTTCAATAGGAAATACTACTCTTCAATGATTTTTCCGATCAAGGGAAAAGAAGTCTCCAATGATTAGGTGATGTGACTCAATCGACAAAGTCAAGCAGAGATCGCCACCTACCTATTCCAAAGCTAAAATTTCAAGCAGAAATCTATATAATGATTTGGTGAGAAGACTCAAATGTGAGAACCTAGCAGAGACCACCGAAAAATAAACCTCAGTAATCGAGCAACAAAATCACAAACCAAGGGATGCAGCTATTAGGATGTACTCGGTTATCTTTAAGAATACATAACCTACTACCTAAAGCCTATAATGCTACATCACCAACAGTCATAGATAAGAACCAAAATAAGCACCATAATCCAAAACACATAATTTTATCAAGCAAAGAGAAGGAAACAATTTCACCATAACAAAATCAAAGGAACCAAGTTTCAGCCAACAACCAATCAAAATGACACCACACAAACACCAAAAGTTGCACCAATTCCACACAAAAATGTAAACTTGTACGGAAATTACTACAACTTGAACAAAATTCAAGCTACCCATCAACAACTAACAGAAATAACAATATTTCCAACAGAGAAAAAAAAAAAATCGCAAATAAAAAATCCAACATATTGTATAGAAAGATAGGAGCTTTACCTCCCCGAAGAACAATAATTGAAATTTCAGCACTTGGATTTGTTGGGGGGTAGCAGTGGAATTAATTCGGTATTCGACTGTTCATTCTCAGCTTTTCATGTTGTTGTTCAGTCCTCTTTATCTTAATAAAGTTTATTTCCTGAAAAATAAAAAAAAGAAGATTTTTAGTAATGGATTAAAACTAACATGTAATATAGAACTTCTGTGTTTTACTTTCTTATTGGTCCAAGGCTCGAGAAAAGTATTTCATGAGCTGCCAAAAAAAAAAAAGTCAAAGAAAATGAATATAGTTGTTCTATATCATCCTATTGAAACCATTAAAATAGTTTTTACATTATGTGAAGCAAATTATATGAAAGTAAAATTCAAATGAAATGTCAATTAATGGAAGATCTAAATTGTTCATATATTAAATCATCATATAAGCGGAGGACCTTTTTACCACAACTTGAACCACATTGTTAGCAACTGAAACAGTTTGATTCTTTATAAACAAAATGAAAAGGAAAAGAGAAGGACAATCAGATTATTTTAAAATTTACAGATTAAATCCCCCCGCATATTTTAAAAAAAGTTTGAATAAAAACTGTTAGCAACTGAAACAGTTTGATTCTTTTTCAACTCCCCCTGCATATTTTAAAAAAAATTACAGATTAAATTAAATAAAAACAATTCAATAAAATTAATCACAAATTTCATTTGAGTAATCATCAAAATCGAGAGTATATAGGTGAATTATGGACAATTTACTATGGCTCAGTCAAGTAAGGACCAATTGTAAAAAGTAACATGAAGTCAAAGTGTAATGAAAAAAAAGAATAGGAAATAAAGATGGTAATATTATCACAAAAACAGCAGCAAGAGACCTTAATTAATTAAGGTGGCTTATTTTAGTGAGCAAAGAAAAGCTAACAATTAACAAAGCATGGATTTAGTTGAGAAAAAAACACAGGATGAAATAACATTATCTCTTTTCAAAAGAATATAAAAATACTACCAGGGATTCAAAAATATTAGTTAACACAAACAAACAGCAACAAAAGCCATTAGACATAAGGTAAAGTACCAAAAACTTGATCCAAGAAAAAAGAATCATTTACCTTTACGGCTCTAACCATGTGACGGGGAACTTCCTCCTTCCCATTTAAATGGTGGATTGAATACCAAACATGCTTCTTTCCAAAGAGAAGTGCCTGATGAAGATGAAAAAAAATATAATTCAAATTACATCAAAAGAAGTAAAAAAGTGGATAAGAATGGCAAAGCATGAAAATTGAACACAATGAATTACTGACACGATTAAATTTTCTATCTTCAACTCTCCGACTAATTTGATATAGCACAACAATTAACCGTTTGAAAGAATTGTGTAAAACATTATTGATTTTCTGAATTTAGTAGACATACGAGATCTCTTTGCTTCAGTAGTTGAAAAGAGAAATAAAGAAAGCGTGAATGTGTATATAAAAAGTTGAACTTTATGGGAGATGAAGAAATAACTTTATGGCTAGCAAACTATTAGAAATCCTATTTTCAAACTCACTTACATTATCAACAATGCCAGCCTTTGCCTCCTCTCTCCCTTTGCGTTGGGATGTATAAGTTTGTCTTAAATAAAACCCTGTAAGAAAGGGAAAGTAGAAGAAAGTTTAGGGAAGTTAAAATGAAAGCTACAATATGCACAAAACGTAACTATTAGTAATAATAACCAATGTAATCAAACATAAATAAAATGGTATGGTACAGTTTTAATCTTTTTCATACAGTTCTGAGGTTCGAGTCTTATGAAATGGCAAGTTTGATACAAATTATTAATGATGGAATGGATAGTTTTATTCTCTTTCATAAAAGTCACATTCAAAACTAAAATTCAATGCCAAAAACCAATACCAACATGATCCAAAGAACCTCAATCTACTATCTTTAACAATTGAAACTATATTGCAGGATGTTAAATCTTTAGTCTTAATTTGAAGACTGAAAATAAAATAATTTGAAGCTACATTGATTAGTATTAAGCTTAGCCCAAAATATTCTTCAGCAGATGCAATCCGTAATTAAGACAAATTCGAAAAAATTGAGCCTTACCTGATCAGTGATAAAACAACATGCTCAGAAATACGATTTCAAATTGAATTTGAACAATGACAGCCACCTCCTTCTCTGAGTTCGAAGCTGGAAATTGAACAAAATACGATAAAATTTGAATCATACAATCCAAATTTCAAAGGGCTAAATTTTCATACATGCAACTCAACAACTAAGATTGTTACTACAGATTATTCAAGAACTAATTACCAAAAACAGCACTCTGAGGTTCATACCTTTAGTTTTTGTTCATTTATTATTTTTCTCAGTAAATCAACCATTTGTTCTTTATCAATTTCCAAGACCTGTTATAGAGAAGGCAAATAGAGCATAAAAAATTAACTGGGTTAGCAACATGTAACTTAAATATACTTAAGAAAGTATATTTAACTCAAAACCAAGAAATTAGAAGATATCTAAATCATGTAGAAAGTCATGAACTCAAGAACTAAGCTATCCCAGTAAGTCTGAAATTGAGAGATACCCACTAAACAAACATTTCAACGATTTGGGAGATACCCATCAACTTTTCGACTTGAGAGATACCCATGTCGATTTTTCAAGATTGATAGAGAAAATGAGCAAACCAAATAATTAGGGAGGTTTATATATACCTGGCGATTGGAAAGGAGAACCAAGAGGGGTTTCCAAAACCCCGTCTTGAAAAGAAAGAAGGAGATCAAGGCCGTCCTGACGTTTAGACATGCTTCCGCTCTCTCTCTCTCTCTCTCTCTCTCTCTCTCTCTCTCTCTCTCTTCGTCTTCTGCGTCTGTGATTTTTGTTACAGTCTTTGCTTGCAGCAATCGAGGTAGGTGGACGGTCGGTGAGAAGGAACTTGAGCTCCTTCTGCAGTCGGAGGTTGAGAGCAATGGAAAATGAAGAGATTCATCCCTTTCAGATATCAATCCCCAAATCCTCTTCAACAATTCGGATTAGCAAACACTCTGGCCTGAAGCCAAAATCTGTGTACAAAAGCTCTACCTCAAGTGGGCAAACTCCCAAAATAATATGAAAATTACCCAAATCCATACAGCCTTCCAAAACCCTAGCAATCGATATAAATTTGAAACCAAAAATAATTTCAAGGAAATTGATAGATAATCAAATTTATTTGAGGAGATGAAGAGGGCAAACTACTTTAGTACAATTTACCTCTGATTCATCCTTCTGGGTTGCCCTCCCTACTCTTTTGGTAGACCATCTCACCCACAAACAGGTGTTTCTCACGGCAGTGCCGTCTGACCAAGTTAAATGGATTATACTCATCCAGCCATCTTACCCGCTCTGATGGAGCCATCTTTCTTCAATTAATCTACCTGAGTTTTGGGTTGTGGATTTAAGATTTCTCGTTCTAGGGTTTGATGGAGTCTGCAGGCAGTTGGAGAAAGATTGAAGCGGCGTCCCATTTTGTTCTCCGTTCGACAGCAAAGCAAACTGGCAAAATTGAAATAACAGCAAAATAGGCGGGGTAGAATCGGATATACACTGTAGAAGTAACAGTGAATTCAGTCTATATTCTATAATGACACAACGGGAATTAAAACCAAAGTTATACTTTTAGTATATTTATAATATAATATAATTTGTAGTTTTCATATTTTGTAGGACTAAATGCAAAGAAAGGAATTTTGAGCCTAGAGGAGTTTTGAGAGCTTAAAGATGGTCCATGAACGTTCAAAAGAAGATTGCGGGATATCAAAGCGATGCCTAAAACCTGGAGGTGAAACAAAATTTGGAAAATTTGAAATGTGGGAGTTTCTCATAAGCGACTTCAGTAGACTGTCATTTATGCATCCAGAGAAACCAGATTGCATAGCACATATGGATGGAAAGCTAAGGAAGTCTTCCTTCCAATGGCGTTAGAATCAAGTCAGTCCGATATTCGTCCAATGAATTATGATCGTTTTAGTGACTGATGTTCGAATTTCAAAATTATGCAGTCCGTTTGAGCTGGGGATTTAAACCCCAGCTAGAGAACTATTCTGACCATTTTTATAGGGAAGTCCGTGCTTCCCTTTTATGCCAAATATTATACTTCATATTCTTCATATTCCTCACTAAATTGACAAGTGGAAGGCTGAGATCAAAACCAAAACAATTGGGATTTAAAGGAAGATTCCAAGCGACGAAGGGAAATAAAAGGAGACGGCTGCATGCCTGTTTTGGAGGAAGAAACTGTTAGGAAAATTTAATAATAATATTATTATATTAAATTTATTAATTGAATAAAAATTAAAAGTCAAGTCTTTTGGTAGAATGATATATCTACTTAAATGAAATGTTGCAACTTTTGACGTTTCATAAATAGTCACATGTTTTCCAAATAGATATATCACATTCTATAAATAGAGAACACTACAATATTAGCTTTAGGTGTCAAATGATGGTGTCAGTTTAATAAGCCATTATGTCGGATAAAAGATATCCGATACATTATTCAGTTAGTGTCGGATAACAATGAATTTATGTCGGTTATATCCAACATAAAATTTTGGCTGATATTTAGTGGCGGATACAACCGCCATAAAAGTATTATAACCGCCAGTATTTTTGAATTATTATTTTTAAATATTTTTTAACAGATTTTGACAATTTTGAAGTTAATGGTGGCAGATATAACCGACAGAAATTGACTATTTTTTTATTTTAGTTTTCTGACTATTTTTATTTTAGATTTTTGGCAGTTTTGAAGTTTCTGGCGGTTATTATTTTAGTTTTCTAGCAATTATAACAGACAAAAATTGACTATTTTATTATTTTAGTTTCTACTAGTTATTATTTTAGTTTTCTAGTGGTTATAACCTACAGAAATTCACTATTTTATTATTTTTACGCCAAAAGTTTTTCAATTTGTTGTTCATTCAGATTTCTTCCTCTTGCTCTTCAGATTTCTTCATCTTCAATCTTTTCTTCTCTTCATCTTCAATCTTTTTCTTCTCTTCATCTTCAATCTTCATTTATTTAGAGATTTTAAGTTAATTAGTAAGATAAATTAGGAATATTTGTGTTCCATTAGTTTATTTTATTCACTTAATTATGTTATGAAGAAATTGAGACAAATATTATTTGTAAATATTTATGTTAAATTGACAATATTTAATATACCATAAATTGGTAATATATTTAGTAATATAGCCATATAGGTATATATTATGTTAATTAAGTAAATATTTCACTCTAATTGCTATGAGGATATACAAAATTTGAATTTAATAAACAATCAAGAGTGTAGATAAACATATTTTTGTTAACCTTTTATTGTTTTTTAATTTGTTTTACTATGATAGGTGTTGGAAATTAAATTGCAATTGTGATAGTTCGAGGTTGAAAGATAGGGATTGAAATTTCTAATAGTTATGTGACACACCACGACCCAGAAAGTCCACTAGGATACCAAATCGAGTTGTGCTGGCCGACACCTAGAAGGTGACGAAGCCATAGAATGTGATAATGTGTAAAATGTGAATAAATTTAAAATTAAAAGTGCCTATATACACAAATACGCGGTGAGCAAGTATGGACCCATTTTACGCATGATACAGAGCATAAGTAAGCACAGTAAGATAAGATAATGATTATACCATCATAAGGAGCCACCTGAACTAAGAGTGCCACAAGTCCTCGTCGATACGGAACTTTGCTATTAGAACCTAGAGGGGTGCAAAAATAGAAAGAGTGAGTGGTCGAAACAAAGATTTTCAAAATCATTTCCATTATCAAATGTAGTAATCCCTCGTCGTAAGACCTGTATAGTTTCCAACAAATCATATTACGTAAAAGTATGAAATCAAAAGTATACTAATAGTAAACCCGGAAGTATATCACTATCCAGCATCTCATTAGCAATACAAATAATCACGTGCTTAATAAACCATACTAGCATGCAAGTCAGAATCACCTATGGTGACCTGTACAACTGTACACATATCACATCAATCAATGCTAGCATATAAGTCGGAGTCGCCTATAATGACCTGTACGACTTATCCATAACTCATCACATATCTCATCAATCATAGCTAGCATATAAGTCGGAGTCACCTATAATGACCTGTACGACTTATCCATATCTCATCATATAGCTCATTAACCAATTTCTGCACACGAGTCGGAACCACCTAAAGTGGCCTGTACGACAGGCTATGTGTAAATAAATACGCACAAGTGCTAGGATGTGCGAAGTATCACAAGTCACCTACGAGTCAGAACCACCTAAAGTGGTTTGTACGATAGGCTGGCACCTACCTTGGATCCAAGGTAAGCGTGTGGTGCGAGAGGTGAACAATCACATGAAGGCTAGGCCCTGGCCATGGGTGGAGCACTAACACCAACACAATTATACTTACTACTATCACTATCATTAACATGTACGCACCTGAAGCTTACCTGGACGTCCGCAACATCATTTGACACTTCAAAGCATTCACAATAATTAGGTTCAGGTAATATATATATATATATATATATATATATATATATGAATATGCCATGATGTAAATCTGAAATTCAACCATATCATAATATTTCCAGATATATAAACATATATACAAATGGCATGAAATGCATAACTGTAACACCCCACTCCCGAACTATTTACTTTCAAGAGTAATCATCGGTGATAAGTCCAATTAGACACTAATTAAATTAATTATCATTACTTACCTTTCCGTACTTCAATTTCTTGATTCGTTACATCTTAATTTATGACCAACATTTAACTACCAAAACCTAAGGTTATATCTCGCATTTTCTACCAATCTTCTTCACACTACTCAATTCCTCAAATAAGGCTATTGTCTCAATTATTTAGTCTTGTTTATTGTACGGCTGCATCTAACGTCTCGTTAGACTGCCTACGTACCCTAAACAGGGATCAAGACATTCGTAATTTACATCCATTATTTATAGGTGACAAGCATAAGGATATACCATAACATAATCTAAACTCAATCATTTCATAGTACTTTAGAACATATGGATAAAAAGAATAAAAAGAATAAATCCACTCACCTGAAGCCTGCATTACGATTCTCTAGCTCGAAAATCAAGGCGTCATGAACCATCGTCGCCTGTGGCCAAGTCCAATTTGGCCTAGAAAGGCTCTAATTTTGCTAAAACCTTACGAAACCCTAAAATTTGGTGTGATTCGATTCGACCTCCAAACTTGCTTTGATGACTCCACCACTGCTTGGGCTTTGTTCCTAGGTTCTAGGGGAGTCTAATGGTGGTGGTGGTTAACGGGATTTACTTCGGAAATGGCGGATTGCAGCCACACCACCTCTGGTGCACCCCCGTGAATTTACCTTCAAATACTCTCACATCCCTTCCAAATTTGGGTGATAATGGAAGAAGGAAGGGTTAGAAAATGATTGGGAGTGGTGACTTGGTCTAATTCATGAGAAATCCGATGGAAAACCACCGGAAAATATGGTGAAAACGGGTCGAGGTCGCGGGTCAGGGGATCCGGCCGATCCCTTGTTTTTTTTCCTCTCTCATTTCCTTCCTTTCTCCTCCTCCTAATTGGTCCCCTCACCTTCCCTAAAATCTGGTTAGCTTCCTTCCCACCAAAATGGGAGCTCTAATTATTTAACTAATTTTAAATAAAAAATTTCAAACGTTTATGACTATATTATTATAATTCGGACTCGCAAGTGGCTTTTGCCTATGTGTTCGTATCAACGAGTACTACACAACTACGCTGAAAGAATAAGTCATACGTTCCTCTAGACGATGGTCAACAGAAGTCAAAATCCTTACCTCTAGGGCATTTTCGTCAATTCCCTCAATAAAAACGTAAATTTTTGGGTTAGGTTGTTACAATCTACCTACCTTAAAAAAAATTCATCCTCGAAATTTAAAATCAAATAGAGATGTTGTATAAAAGAGAATGTCATTCCATCGCGATCAAAGTGCAGTGATTTCTCTTTCATGCCTCTAAACTCAAACTTTCCTTCTTCTTTAGTATAGTACTAAGTTATTCAGTTCTTTCTCAACATAAAGTAGAACAATAGATGTATAACAACGTAATGTCGAAGTACATATAATAAAGTGAAGCTAAAATAGTTGCTTAACAATATTTAAGATTAAGTCCAAACAATATTTAAATAACCAACTGTAGACGGACCTAGATGTCCGCTTGCTTAACATGTTCCACAATTAAGTTTCTAGTATCACGGTCTACAGTCCATAATTCCAACAACTCATTGTTGTCCCGATAAGTAAGTAATAAATTCCCGAGGGTGAAATATTACCATCAAGCCCCCCATTGGGAACATATGTGTAACTCATCCAATTAGCGCCTCAATTGCTCTCACGTACTGCCTTCCCAGGCGACAACGCAATTAATACACAATTTACTGCATTATAATCTCGATCATTCAACTACCTGTTCATAATATTTTTCTGTCAATCATGT